TTCTTGTGCTTTAGAGCCCAAGTGTCCAGTTACTTTCTTTCTTCATATCAGGAATTAAATAGTGGAAAAGTATCATGATGGAAAACATAGTTATTTAAGTTAGAAAATTTTATACTGGTGATGCTTTTTCTGCATATTAAAATCCCCTGTACTTCAGTTTCAGCATCAATATATATCAAGATAATGACAATTGCAGTCATGATGTGATACATCTATAACCATAATGGCAACAGGACAGGAATGTTTGTTTCAAAGGAAATCAACTTCTTGACACTCAGCTCCATGCCCCAAAGAGATTATGTATCTGCAAATTTTAGCAAGTCAACTATGCTGAGGGCCATCCCTGCTAAACCATACACATAATTACCTCATTTTCAATCCCCCTTGAAGTCTGTCATAATGCAAATCAAATTTGATGTTTCCCCTCCCCCCTTTATTTTCCCCATTGAATTTTCTATACAAGCTTTTCTCTCCAGCAGAAGCATATAGAATGCATTTTTGAGCTGTATTAGCAAGAATCTAAAAATTCCTTTCTCTAGTGAGCATACCAGCTTGCTAAACAATCATGACCCCTTGGTCGTACTGTTCTGCATTCACACTGGGACTACGAATTTACAGTGCAGAAGTTGATCTGAGTTTGTTTTGCCAATGTGGAAATCATTATGCTGCTTGAAGGTTTAACCAATGAGGTTAAACTGTGCTATATAGATTTCTTAGCAAGCATACAGACATATAAATACAATGGTTACTTGTGTCGGATTTAGAGTAAATTTCAATAGATTGAAAACAAAGTTTGGAAATATTATAGAACATACTATATTGCAATCATTTTTTGCTTCTATTCCAAAAAGTGAAAGAGCAACCTCAAATTTTCTTATTTAAAAAAAATCGGTAACACTATAATAACTTCCCTTAATAAGTCATTAACAAATATTACATAACACTTAACAGATTATTAGTTTGTGTATATTCAAATACTGATAAATATTATTTCAAATAATTCGAGCATTAGATCATGTGTTTTTGAACATTTAAAAATGACTTGAGAAATACCAGTTAAATTACTTCATTACTATTCCGTAACACATTATTCATGTTCTTTATTCAATGTTATTATAAAGTGTTACCAATAAATCCCAGGCCATAATACAAGCTGGATTGTGTTCTTTTGAGGTTTCTGACCGAAAATGTTGAATGATCTCCCAGTTGATTTATTCCTTCCTCTTAGTATACAAGATACCACCTTGGAATGATTTTTCACTAGTAAACGCTTTATCAGAGACAGACAGCTGTGACTGGGAGCAGGATTCATCCATAGCCTCACTGCTTCCACCCTGTCCTCCCTCCCAGAAAGTGCCTTGCTATGTGGAACAAACACAGATTTCAGCTTGTCCTTACAGGCCCATCTCAGAAAATGGAGGTTGCGCACACCACAGGAATTTATGGCTATTTGGTTTTAAGCACTTTTCTTGATTTAGTAAATCAGGTTTGCAGGTGAATGTATGAGAGTCTCTTAAGTAAATTAGAAGGAATTTATGATCACAAAATGGCATTGTATGCCTTTGCTGTTAATTGTAGTCTGAAGTGGTCCATATTATTAAAAAATGTTTAGATACTTGCCGATACTTACATAATGCAGGTGATAGAGTTACTTTTTAATGCTTTGAACATAGAATCAATATTAAGTATAAAAATGTACTTAGTACAACATAATATGTAAAACAATTATGATGTTAATTTGCATGCATCTTGTATTTTAGGAGAGCTACACATTCATCAATATATATGACGCAGTGTCACGATAGATTCGCTTCTGGTCCCTTTGCAGGGTTTCCGAAGGAAGTGGATAAGTGGTTGAAAAATGAATGGGCAGATATTTAGCAAATTCACCTATATTACATTCAAAGGAACAACAACAATAATAATAATAATATGAAAATATGGGCCATGTTTGCATGATAGTCAACCCTTTCAATGTAAAACTTATTAAAATGCCACATTTCCTAAGATACTCATAATTAAAAACTATAAATAAATAAATGACCACTTTGTTTAATTAGCTGGACAATAAAATGAATGTTCCAGAATGTAGGTTATGGTTGGTGAGTTAAAGTGTGAAAAGCATTGAAAGTAAATCAATGCTGAAAAATAAATAAATACATTCATGCAATTATTTAAAAAGAAGCCACAGCAGAACTAAATGTGAAAGTTAGCTAGGACTTATATAAATATTACCAGATACAAGGAAAGCAGATGACATATTGGATTGTCTGTTAAATAGTTTTGTTACACACTGCAATGTCAGCATTTTCATATTCAGAGTACTCAATCCACTCTGTGTTCATTTGAGATTTCACAGTCTTTCTTGACAGTGTGTGTTGTTATCTGACAGATTAATTTTGAAATCTAATTTGAACTACCATGAAGTTAAATGAAATGAGAACATTTAAATAAGTAAGACAACGAAACAAGCCCATTGGATTTCATTTTTTTCAGAAACTTGTACCAAGGATGATGGACATAATAAAATGTTAAAGTTAACATAGATATTCACTTAGCCTGCATTACCAGGTAGAGGATCTGCTTCTGTTCTCTTTGAACATGCTTAAAGTATTAGTGACAAGCAGGCAATATGTAAGATCCATGTTTTACACAAACCTGGGTCAAGGATATGGGTGTATTGTAAAAAATTATAAATGTAGGTGGTTGTACAAGTGAGACCACAGTGAGTTGATACGAGTCATATGGCAGACAAAGAAATGCACAGAGAAGCTCAGGAGCAGCAATTATTGCGAAGCTCTTTGCATCCTTGGCTGCAGTTTTCTTTGATGCTCTTCAACAATGTAATAAATGTGTCACTTTATCAAAAAACAGTGCCTAGGAATTTAATGTATGGGTCGTCAGACAGAAGCAAAGTGCAGGCCTGTAAGGCCTTTATCATGTTGTTTAAAATATTTTCATCTTCTATAAAGATTCTAATGTTTCTCATCTTTATTAGCTCTTTCAGGTAGACATAAAACAAAGGAGTACAGTGTTGTATAAAGAGAAAAAATAGATATCACAATTCACATTAAATACAATCTCTGCACAAAATGAAAAGTGTTACATTTCGGAGCCAAGTATGCTTAAAAGGGAATATTAATATGTTTAAGGATTTTAAAATTTAAGGTCTCATACATTTCTGTTTCTCTAATATACTAAGTATTCTTTCCATTTGTAATTTTTTTAGACTAGAGACTGCTTACAGATATCTCTGACGGACACTTCATGCTACTGTCTGGACTAATTGTATTCATTTTAAATTAAGTTCTGACAGTACGCACAACTCTGTATTTGATCTAAGGTTACTGGCGAAAGGTTTCTGCCTTTCCCACCTTTTAAGTGTCATAGCAATTATCTATGCCACACTTACAAATTGATTTGATAAATCTCTGTACTACTGTATATGTATCCAGAGGTAAAGTACTTGAGTAATTTTACTTGATTACTGTACTTAAGTATTATTTTTGGGGATTTTTACTTTACTTGAGTACAATTAAAAATGAATACTTTTACTTAATTACATTTTTAAAGAAAAAAAAGTACTTTTTACTCCTTACAATTTTATTTACAGTCAAAAAGTAAATCATTTTAAAATACTCATTTTTGGAGATCACTTCATTTTATTTTCCCTTGCTAACAAACCAATTGAATTGCGCTGAATCCCAGTTTAATTAAAATGTTATTCATTGTGCCAATGAAATTTGTTTTCACATTCTATGAAATTAGTCAGACATGTTCATTGGTCCTTCGGAAGTGACGTCATGTCACATCTCTCCAATAGAGTCTGGCTGCAGATCCACTGAGACTCACGTCCACTGAGACGCAGGAAGTGACATCACGTCCACTGACACGCAGGAAGTGACATCACTAATCCACTGAGACGCAGCCATAGATATCTTCTATGATACATTCTACTTTTAGTTCATTTAAAAATGGTTCGCAGTTATCACTTGTTTGTATGCATATAGTCGTCCCTCGCCACTTTGCGCTTCGACTTTCGCGGCTTCACTCCATAGCGGTTTTTTGTCTATTGATTAAAAAGTTGATCGAGAAAATGAAAATGATACATCGCTACGCATCGGAAGCATATTTGCTCTTCGTAATTAGATGTATAATAATAACAATTATAACGTCTAATATTTATCTTCTATTATTTTTTCTAATATTTTGGGTAATACGAGTGTAATTTTCATGACCTACCTGTCCGATCCTCTTGTGTGCCACGCCCCCTTATTAACCACATATGCAACCCTGATTGTGACCAGTTGTTTTCTGTCAATTTGATTCTGTTTCTGTCAGTGTCTATAACCCCAGGTCTGTCGTTGACGTTTTGATGTTACATGTTCCTGTCCTGCATTTGGAGTGATTCCAAATAAACCCTTCAATCCTGATTCCTCGTGTCCCCGTTCCTGCTTCCCTGTCCAGCAGTCATAAACTATTGGTGACTAAAGGATGTTATTCCATGTCTAGAGGGCTCTAATAATGTTAAAAACCGTATTTAGAAGGTCGTAAACAGGTTTCCAATGCTCTAACTACGAAAATATTCGATTTCTAAAGAATCCTATTTCGCGGATTTCGCCTATTACGGGTTTAGGGTTACGGGTTTTTAGAACGTAACTCCCGCGATTAACGACGGACCACTAGCTGTATTACTAAATCATAGATTATTTTAAAAATAGTTTGTGCTTATCACATTTGAATTATACATTTATAAAAGTAGTTTGTACTTATAATTAAGAATTGCATAACTTATAATTTGATAAGTAGACAATTTTATTAAATTTTATCACCTGTAGTCCTGATTGTGACTGTCAATGGTGACCAGATTTTTCCCCCCCTCAGAGTATTATATTGAAGCCTTAAAGACTGCAGAATTATGCTTCTCGCAGAGCTTTTCTCCATACTTCTGTTATTCGAAGATAATGTACGTCCTACATAAATAAATCACTATACATAGATAATTTGGCACACATTTTATTTGTAGTGTATTGATGTATAAATTTGAACAAACGTGCAAAAAAAAACAAAAAACAGTATATGGAACGGAATAAAATGAGGAAAAATTTGTATTATGTAAACATGGCATGAATTTTAAGACCCATCCCATCAACGCAATTAGAGAGTAAGGTTTCCATGCCCTCCCTATTATTAAAAATAAACATGAATGGGTCATTCCTGTTGCCACTTTGACCCTCCAGGACCTCCCTGGGTGCTTTCTGCTGATCCTCAGCCTCAATCTGGAGAACAGCAGGTTCGGTCACCTCTCCACTGGAGAGTGATTCTTGCAAATCCAGCACACAGCACTGCAGAGGTCCCTCATGACGCGCGACTCCTATATGACATTGGAAGTGAATATCAGGGGTTAGGGTTAGTTAATCAGGCGCAGCTGGTAGTCAACAGGAAAACCACCTGAGAAAAATGAGGGACATACACACACACACCTCACTATTACATTGGGTACAGCAGTCAGTTACAGCTTGCCCACCAGGTCTGAGAACAGCAGGAGTGCTCACCCTCGAGAGAGGCTCCAAGTTTGCTTTCAGCAGGTGTGAAGCTTCCTCAGTCTTCCTCTGTCCATGTCTGAGTAGTACAAGTACACATCACACACACTACCAAGACTTAATGTTTCAATATCTCAATGTATCATCAATGGTGTCATTAATACCCATATACGCAAAACCTATCCATTAGCTGAATGCACTACCACTGAAGAATTAATGGAATATTACCTTAAAAATAACAAAAATATAATATTCAGCCTCCCTGCTGGGCTTTACCCGGTATTCTATATCTGACAGAAACCTCCTTTACTGCAGAGAAAGTGCACTTGATTCTGCATCTGAACGCATCTCAATGTACA